CCCTATGATGCTCCTGATGCTCGCCTCGTCGCGCCTGCACTTCGAGCTACACCCTCCAACCTAGAGCTTTCGTCACCTCCCCGCGGTTCTCAAGTTGCGGCGTAAAGCAGGCTCGAAAGGAGACTTCGCTTAGCATCTGATCCAGACAGAAGGGGTTTCAGTATCATGGCTATTTACAAGTGCTGCCTGGCCCGCAGAACTACCCTAGCAACCTCAGTGGCGTATAGCCAAAGAGCGTACGCACACGCAACAAAGCTAGCCTGAAGTAGGACCAGGAAAGCCCTGCAATGCACAATAATTCTGTGCTACGAGCAAGCCTTTACCTTGGGTGACAGTCCCCGCTTCAGGGATTGGCAGATATCTGGTCGCGAAATAGCGGGATGTATCACAGGGCTAAAATCAGAATAGCTGATTGCTCTGCGCCAGCGGCCCCGTGACCGGCGCAACTCAGGTTTTAAAAGGCATGAGCGCTGCATGCGACATGCGACCCCTCACACTCGTTGACGCCAGTGTCTTTTTGGGCGCTTTCGCTCAGGAGACCTACCTTGACATCCAGCAGGAGCCGGTATCTTGGGACCATTTGTAGAACGTTACTGAGCCTCAGGAGCTTACAAAGGGAATGTGAGCAGCTGCGAACCTACCGAGGCTTCGCCCGGATTCTGAAGGATGGCTGGTGGATGCCTTCTCCTGACGAGCGGCGAAGGGGGTGTACGGGTGTAGGGGTCAGTGCTGCTCCGATTCTCCACCCGAAGCAGCTTCCCGGCGACGACTCACTTCCAAATTGTACCGCTTCGGCCATCAGACGGACAAGCGAGGCAAGCGTGATGAACTAGCAGCCGTGATAGCAGGCCTAGCCAGGAGAAATAGAGCAACAGCAGCAGTGCATTTAGATATGATGTGGTAGTAGAGATAGCAGTGCTAGAAGCAGCAGCATCAGAAATCGAGGCAGTAGCCGCAGTAGGAACAAAAGCGACAGGAGTAGCAGTAGCAGTATCAGCATTAGCAGCAGGAGCTCCCACTACCTAAAGCATGCATGTGGAGCTTCGTAGTGTAGAGATGTTGGTTTCCGGTCTTTCTTTTGGGCAGCTTTGTTATGCGATTCCTCCGGACGACCCGAACCATGTCAGGCCAGCGAGGCCGTGCAAAACAAGGGGCATGTCCGTGGACGTGAAAGCATTCAGTCATCGTAAGATTCACTTTGCTCCAGTGGTTGCTGCTACCGCAGACTACTTACTGCATGGGGCATGGCCTTGCTTACTTGCTTGCTCGCTGCGCGTTTGCTCGCTCGCTCGCTCACTCGATCCCTCGCTTGCTTGCTTGCCTGCTTAGTTTGAAAACGTTCGTTTCTTATACGGGGCATATCGGGGCATATTGTACAGTAAAGATATGCACCTGCTTACTTGTTTGCATCTCGCTGTCGCTCTTGCTCTCACTCTGGCTCTCGCTCTGGCTCTGGCTCTAGCTCTCGCTCTATGTCTCTCTGTCCGTCTCTCTCTGTCTCTCTCTCTCTCTCTCTCTCTCTCTGTCGCTCTCTCTGTCTCTCTCTCTCTCTGTCTCTCTCTCTCTCTCTCTCTCTCTCTCTCTGTCTTGTCTCTCTCTGTCTCTGTCTCTCTCTCTCGCTCTGTCTCCCTCTTTCTCTGTCTTGTCTCTCTCTGTCTCTCTCTCTATCTCTCTCTCTCTCTCTATGTCTCTCTGTCTCTGTCTCTCTCTTTCCGTCCATTCACTAACTTCTAGGCAGCTCGGTGGCTCATGCAAACAAGAGTGATGAAGGCCGTCTCAGCAGAAACCCGAATCGCTGAATCCTGAAGCTAAAGTAGACAACATAGCAAGCCGTCCACTGCTTGGAGTGGAAGCACCTGTCATCCCGCATTCCGTGCAGGACTTCCTGAGGAATGTATGTTGAAGGCCTCTATTGGGCTGTGTATTATTTTCTAACATACTTCGTCTTTGCTCCCCACGACGCCCGCCGAAATATGGGCTGCTTGCTCCCCATGGAATGCTGGCGGCGACCGGGTCTGGATTGGAAACATGTGCAACTCACGAGGATGATGTGTAACAGGTACGATGACTCAGTCTCTGCAGTTGTAGCAACGCGTTGCGAGTTAGCGGACGTCGTGTGCTCGAATTCACATCCTCATGATGACACGGGTCTGATCCACACAGCAGAGAAAATGGTTTGATGAGGAATTCCTGTCGGCCGAGAAGGAGGGGAGACTGCAGGAAGCGGTGGCGAGGGCCCTGCAGCGGAAGGCATTTGCTCGGGCCTGGTGAGTCTCATCAACACAACTCGATTCACGCGTTGCTTTCTCGGTAAGTGCTCTCGGCGGTTCATGTTGAGAAGGCGTGACGGAGAGGCTGGTCAACCCTAAACCCTTCCAAGAAAGATGCAAGGCCGTCAGCTCGTTTGAGACTGCCGCGTGGCTGCGGCAGTTCAAGCAGTCAGGCCAGGAGGTCTTTGGAATGGCAGAAGGCTTCGTTGGGAGCTCGCGGCTTGATGTACTGACAGCCCGCTGGAGCGGCAATCAAGCCATAGCCAGCCATAGTCCTATAAAGGCCGAAGTCACTTCAATAAGCGATCGCTTGAACCGTGACAAGTCCATCCAACTCCTCTTGAATGTCATGTTTGGCTGTCTTTCACGGCAGGGCGCTGGAACCTGGCTTTGGCCGTCCTTGCGGCTTTGCGCCGCTGCGGGTGTGTCTGTGGCCGCTTTCAGCAACCAAGCATGCATAGCGAGCAGATGGGACAGTGCATGTGCAAAAAGGATCGACAACTCGCCCTCGCTTCTGATGGGTTTGGGCGGTAATGGCAATTTTCTCACTCAGAACGTGTTGAGGTGAAAGGCATCCATCAGCATGGTTCGGACAGGTGTATTGTCTGTGAGGCCGAGCATTTTTCTCATAGCGTCAGGGGTACATTCTCGCAGTGGAGTCTCGGAGTCTCGGGTTTGAGGTGCTGCAAGTCTGATAGCGTAGCTGCACGAGGCGTGTAGTTGCGGAACCAAGGTATGCGGCTGCCCTGTCAGTGTGCTCGAAGGCCATAATCACGTGATTCGATGTCATGCCTTTGGATGGGTGCTTCAGGCAAGGGAGCATGCAGGTCAGGACAGCCGTATGCTGCATGGAATTGTCTGCATACTGAAAGCAGGGACTTCTCTGTGCACGATTTGGTGCACTTCGTGCTTGCCGCGGCATTGGCTCAGGATAGGATGCGAGTGAATCGAAGAATGTAGCTCGCTAAACAGCGGCTTGATGTGAAGAATTGCGATGGGCTCGGTGGCCAGCACTCAGACATACGTGGTTCAGGTCTATCCTCATATCGAGGTGGAGGCCGGACGCGAGCTCCGATCTCCGGGTTGGGGCTTGTTGGAGAGTTCGGAGTATTTCGGAGTGACTGAGAGCTGAGTCTCCAACCGTGGCCCTCGCGCGGGGGCATCACGAAGCAACATAGCGTCGTGGTTTGCGTTTTGGAGCTGTCATTGCAAGAACATGCAAGCACATAGCACCAGGAATTGTTAGCAAAGTCGTCGTCGTCGAACTTGGCCGAAGCCTATCCTGCCAAAGGCGCAGGCGCAGCCTCATGAGCTTATGGTGTCTGAGGACTCGAGCATGCAGGACTCTAGTGCTATCTTTTCTCCCTCATCTTGAAGTTCTTGGGTTTTGCCAATGACCTGTGTTTTCTTGTCGAAGCCAGGAGCTAGAGCTCTCCAACACTGTGTCGAGTCAGAGCAGCGTGCCACCGTCACCGATCACGAGCCCCAGCAGCCCACCCTTATTTCAGCATTCTGAGATGTCCAACCAGAGCAGATTGCCAGCGTCAGAACCGATCAAGAGCCCGCGTTTATTTCAGCAGTCTGAGATGTCCCAGCAAAGCAGATTGTCAGCATCGGAACCGATCAAGAGCCCACGCTTGCTACAGCTGTCTGAGACTTCGTCGAAGCAGGGCACGATCAGGAGTGAGACTTCGTCACAGCAGAGCAGCCAACAACCGGCAGAACCGAAAACCAGCCCACGCTTGCTGGATCCCTCCCTGACCGCGAGCACTGGGTCTGGTTCTTCCCTTCGAGATGTCATGGGTCAGGCTCTTACAGACTATGCATCCTTGACCAAGAGTGAGAGGCACAACAGTCGCAGATATTCCGAAGTGGACATGGCCATGGTGCGAGGGATCTCCTTGCGAAGCTCGCTTCGAGGGCTTGGCCGCTTGTGGCGCTACAAGGCAAGCTGGAAGCCTCAGGAACGGGCGGCGCTCTACGAACTCTCTTCTCCGGCGATGTCTTTCAAAGTCTTTGTTTCGCATACATGGCAGACTCCTGGCCGCTGGAAGATTCTTGGGCTCAGCCTACAATGTGGCTGGAGGAGCGCTCTTGGCTTCTGGTTCATGGCCGTGGTCGTGTCGTTTGCTTTGTGCGCCCTGGACATCCTCCCCATGCCCTTCAGCTACGAGCCAACGATGGCTGTCTTCCCCGAAACCTATGCAATGGGTTTCTGGGTTGTGCCGAGTGGTATGATTGCAACGCTAGTGGGTTTAGTAGCAGCTCCTTACTGGCCTGAGAGATGCAGCGGTTCAGACACCAGCTTCATCGATGTGGCAAGCATCCACCAGGCACGGTTAGAAGCATCAACGTAGCCCAGACCCATCGCAGAAGAAACAGAACGGAGTGCCCTTCGTTTAGCTTCGCGGAAATTTTTCCTCATGCTCCCTTTCTCCCCTCGCCGTCACCTCCCTGCGGAGGTGGATCGGAGGCTCATGGAGAAGGGAATCTATGGAATCGCCGGCTTTCTGAGGATTTCCCAAGAGCTTCGGATTCTCTTCTCCGCGCCATACTTTTCCAGGCTCGGCTCAGTCGAGAGGGGAGGCTTGCAGAGTAGACCGGCATCCCCAAGCCGATGGAAGCTGTCGAAAGCTCTCGAGGAAGAGCATGGCCCGAAATGAGTCTGTGGCTTCAAGACTTGGGCTCGGGTCCTTGAAGGATTCAGGGCATGTCATGCAATGTGGGGTCGCGTGTAGTGAACGCAAGCGTCTGTTTTCCAGGCTTTGGTGCGTCTTTGAGGTGGCTGCCTATAAGAAGCTCAATCCTCAAGGCACGATCAAGTTCAAACCGGTCTTTGTAGAAGCAGTCGTCGTTGGGCTGCTGCTGTCGGCATACTGCTTCAGCTTTATCTTCATGACGTGGCGGATCCTGGATGCAGACGGGCTTGAAGCTAATGCCTGGGTGTTTGCAGCTTTTGCTTCTTGGTTTGTCCCACTGGGCATTGCCACCTACGGGCTCAGAATCATCTTCCGAGAGAAGTATCGTCTCCTCTCAGAGCTCGAGGCACGTCCTGAGCATTTTGACTACCAAGCATGAATAAGATAAAAAGCGGATGCGTTGGCGAAGCCAAGTCTGTAGAGGACAAGCCCTGCCTGAGCCCCCTCCCCTCTCCCTGAAACTCCCACCTCCCTTTCTCCAAGCTGCAGGACTTTGATCTGGACTACGTGCATTGTTCCAAGCAGTTTGACCGAGCCGGGGCTGCTTACGAGCTTCGTAGGTTTGAGTTCGGGGGCCTGGGCATCGGTTGCTGATAGACTCCTGGAAGCGAAGCCATCTGTTCCTGCTCAGGAGACTTTATCCATGCAGCCATCGTGAAGTGGTATGGAAGCAAGGCCAATTTCACCACCTATGTCAGGTGCGGCCTGAAGGATGAACTGGCGACCAGCCTCTTTGCCGCCAGGATGCCGCACGAGTATCTGCTGCTGATTCTGACACCCTTTCTGGGCCTTTGTTTTGAAATGCTCTTGGCAATGTGGAAGAGCGGCGTTCCTCCTGAGCAGCTTATGGCTTTCCTTTTGGCCGCTGTGCTAGGCCTGGACATTTTCTGGTTTGGCTCAAGCATGGTGCTTCTGGTTTGTCTGTGCGACTACTTGGCAGTACGCCGTTTTGGCTGTTGCGACCACTTGCAGACATTTGCAATTATCTTGGCAGTGGCCGGTTTGATAGGCGGAGGAACTCAGCTCTGCGTTTATGCGTGTCAGAGCCTGGATGTAGCTTTGCTGTACCTTGGCGCTACAATGCTGATGGCTCTGTCCGTCTGGTGGCTGGAGGGGAAGGCTTGCAGCTGCCCTGTGGGCCACGCGAGATGACCCCTGATGCTGCGTCAACTGCCCCAAGGAAGCTGTGATGATGGCCGAAGCTGTAATGCCGGATCATCATGCGTCAAAGTTTGTAGCAGATGTGAGAGTGCTTTATCTAGCAAGCCAGATGTACATGTCTTCAAAGAAGTCATAAAGCGAACTCGCTTCGTGCATTGTGGTTTGAGCTCCATTTCTTTCATCCCCGAGCTTCGGAAGCTCCGCTTTACGCTTCGCCGGGCAGTTAAGATCCGGTTCTTGCGTGCAGTTTGAGTCTCCTGAAATCATCTCTTGAGTGCGGTGCCAGATGCTCGCAGCTCTCGGCTTCCCGCGTGTTTCACCCGAGATCTCAGCACCCAGTGCATTGTGTCATCTTTGGCACGTATTCCCGTTTCTGTCAGGTCAGGCCCCTCAAGCTTGCAAACTTGATTTTCAGGCCTGCGACGGAGATAGCGACGGCACACGGTAGAAAAGCAGTCTTCGAACCATCTTCTCAAGGTATTCGGTTGTAGGAAACGCGAGCACACAGGTCAACGACCAACCTCGACGATTTTATGTAGTGATGTTGAAGGTAGCAGTACGTAGTCGCATTATTATTACTATTATTATTAGTAGTAGTGGTAGT